GGGTGGACGGTCCTAGGAGGTGACCTCAGCAGTCCTGGAGAAAGCACTTCCTACTCGCTGGCACCCCCCAACCACAGAATGCACAGAATGGGGGATGGCAGGCGCCCCCAACCACAGAATGGAGGAGATGGTGGGCAGGCCAGGCCCCGGCCCAGGGGGGTTTACACAGTCCTGAAGCCGCGCAGTTATCCCGATGGTCACGTCTTCGCGATACCGAGCGTTCGCCAGACTCCATGTTCCCTCTCCCTTCTGATGTCATCCTCACACATCTTCAGTGAGCAGCCTGAGCAGCTGCATCTCCCGCAACAGTCCTGACCCATGGGCTAGGGGGAGGGTCACACCCCGGGGGGCACAGCTGGCCTCATATCAGCTGGAGACAGGGGGTTCCGGATCCATCCATTTCGCCGGAACGTTCTAACATTTGGGATGCCCCTTCTTGGAAATGTGAACATGACTTTCTTGAACAACACAGGGGCAAAGATGAATCTGTGGCATTGTTGCCTTTTTGTGGCAAAACATATTAAAATACAAATTTCGATGTTTTTTTAGTTACCACTATTATTACTGGGTTTTTTTTGTTTTTGGGGGTTTTTTTACTCTACTTCTTTGGGGAGGAAAAGAACCCAAAACAAATGTCATTCTTGCTGGACTGAGTCTGAGAGGCATGCTCTGAAGCAGCTGGGGTGGCAGGCAGGTCGGTCATCTTGTGAGGTCACTGTCCCAGAGTTAGCCTGGCACTGACACCTCACCCCAGGGGTGCTGAGAGAGGGGGGCTGCGCACCCAAGCCACTCAGCGTGTCAGCTAGGACACGGAGCGGAGCACTGGGGTCTGGGGCCTTCCCCTGAGTAGGCGTTGGAGATCCCAGAGTTTCCACCACCGCTGAGACTGCAAACATCCCCACCACTCTTCATAAATACATTCCTCCTGGTCAGCTCACATGGCTCCAGGTTTTGTGTGGGAAACATGGTCCCCATCACAGCCTCTCCCTCATTCTGGGCTTGGAGGGATTAGCAGATGGCATGTTCTCTCAGTTCTTGGGAACAGAGTGGGAGGGACACAGAGAAGCTCCTTACTGGGTGAACTACAGCTCCGTCGGCCACTTGACGACTGGCTCCCTCTTCCACCAGGTGTACGGCGGCCAGAACAGAGGGATTAATTTTATATGTCAACTTAGCTGGGCTACCACAGCCAGATGTTTGGTGCAATGCCAGTCTAGATGTTGCCGAGAAGGTATTTTTTTAGGTGGGATTGAGATTTAAATCAGTAGACTTTGAGTAAAGCAGATTACTCTCCACGGCGTGGGTGGGCCTTGTCTAATCAGTCAAAGGCTTTGGTGGAAAAACCTGAGGCACCTGAAGAGGAAGGAATTCTGCCTGCGGAGTTGAGGCCGCAACATCACCTGCTGTGTGCATACGTATGTGTGTATATTTACACAGATGCGTCTGCACACACGCATGCACACACACACACACACACGTCCTGTGAGTTCGGTCTCTCCAGAGACCCTGATGAATACAATCTCCTGCTGTGACTCCTGGTTTTCAAGGACTCGTGGAGAACAGCCCCAGGTGTACAAGCATGTAAGCACATGGACTACTTGTGCACGACCTCTCCCTTGTCATCTTATTCTTGGCAAACTTTTCATGATCATAAGATGGGATGTGTTTTTTCTCTGATTTGGAGTTTTGTTTTTGTTTTTGTTGGCAATGGGGGGACCACTAGGGGGAGGGGTGGGAGCTCCTTAACATGGCCAGAGAAAGTCATGAAAACCATACTGTGCCACGGACCGTCTGTGGCCTCAGCCGCCTCCACAGGCCCAGAATACATTTGGTTCCCCTTTGGGACCACAGACTTCGTGGAGGCTACAGTGGAAGTTATGCGCAACACCTCTGAAAAAACCCACATTCCCACACGTGTCTGCTGGGGCCTCTGGAGAACATCCAGTTGTCCTGGAACAAGAAGCCTCGTTTCTGGGAGAAAGCATTGCAGACCACAGCCTCTGTGAGAGTGAAGACAAGGAAGAATCTTCAGGCAGCAGGACCTCACTGAAAGCCAAGCAGTGTCACTGAATGTCTAGTACACACTGGGTGCCGGCCGAGTGTGCTGAGCAAGCTCAGGTCTGGAAGAAGGAAGCATGTGGAGGGATGTGGGAGAGCCAGAGATCCTCAGCTCTTACACCCAGAAGATACTTCGGGACTACCCGGTCTCTCGGGCCCTCACCAGCACTGACTTTGCACATAAGATGCACAAAGGGTCTCAGCAGTACCTTGTGCACCCCACCTGTAGTTTTCAGGTCCTTACACACAGCGTGAGTGAGCACACTCCCAGGATGCCTGCAACCCTGCAGATGTCCTCCCGAGGTGGGCTAGGACTGTGGGGTCTATCTTCATGTGACAGGATGGGCAGTAGGAAGAAAGACACCAAGAGCTGAAAAATCACCCAAAGTCAAGCCTCTCGATGTAGGCATGAGCCTCAAGAGCCCTACGGTTCCCAGCACAGCCAGCGGCAGAGCCTGGATGCACATCACACGCTGGAGAAGTTTCCACAGACCAGGAGGGTCTGCAACAGGAGGTGGGTACGGGAACGGACAGGAACCTGGAAAGACCTCATTACTCTCCACTGTTGTCCCGTTAGCTCAGTTCGGCCATTTTTCATTCTTCCATTTCTCCAAAGGCCCACATTCCCTGTCCCTAGAGCCCATTTTCTCACATTGCAATCTTGTCCAAGATGTTTAAAGACAGCAAATGGACTGGACCTTCCTTTGGAAGGAAGGAAAGAAAGGAATGGAGAGAGGCAAGCACGGGGGGTAAGGGGGAAGAAGAAAAGAGAAAGAGCATCTGGAAAAATCTTCCTTATGAAAAAACTATTTTGCTTGTCTAACTTCAAAATGCTCGTCTGGCTGTTGTCATTTTTGTTGTACGCAGAACTCTCAACACCATATTTAATCCTTCTTTCCTAGTGTTTAAAATGAATCAGGGTCAGAAAAGAGAAGAGGTCAATCAAACTGTGAGGGGGGATGTCAGCAAGTTGGCTGCTCTGGAAGAAGTCAAAGGTCCATGGCTTCATACACGACAACTCAGAATTACGAGCCAGGGCTTCAAACAGATCAGAGGGTGTTTGCGGAGCCTCCTGGGCGAATTTCAAGCAATCAATCCTCCAGCCAGTGCCAGGAGCCTGGCAACAAGCAGAGAATGGAGGTAGTCTCCAAACCCTCTCCTTCTCTCCTCTGCCCCAGGCCCCCTGTCCCTAATGCGGTTGGCTTTCCTTTCTTCTTCTATATTCACAGCTTGGGACTCAATCCTGTGCTGACTGCCCTGCGTCCTCAATTCTGTGAAGATACTTTGGTCAGATCACGATGCCAGGAGGGTAGGAATCAGAAAAGACAAGTGTCAGGGTGATGGGGGCTGCGAGAAGAGGTGACCCTGATCGTTGTCTGAGAAGAGAAGGCAATCAATGGCAGCCCCGGCCCGGAGCCCCTCTCCCACCACACAGCACTTTCTTCTTCCCCACGAAGATGAGGCTGCGTCCTCCCTGCATGGGCTGACTGTGTGTACCGGAGCCTGATCAGACACAGCCTGGCAAGCAAATTCTGCCATCTGGATCAGCTACATAATGTATGGGGCCCAGGATAAAATGCAAACGTGGAGCGTCTGGTTCAAAAAGTGTTAAGAATTTCAAGACAGTGTTAAACAGAGCATGGGTCCTTCTGAGCCTGGAACCCTGAGCATGAGTCAAGGTGGTTTAGTGAAGCCAGCCCTGCCTGCCATCTGGCATAATGGGGTCACTTTCCAGACCTATCCCAGACGTGCTTAGGGATCCTGTCACCTGGTTTGAAAGCTACTCGGCCCCTCATTCTGCAGGTGCTCACAAAACAAGGTGGGTAAGTGAGCCCATCCAAGCTGTCACCCAGTGTGCTCAGAGGTTTGAGGGTGAAGGAAGCCATACGGGGGGCTGAATCAAGGTGGCTCCAAACATAGCAGCCAAGTTGCCTTTCCCAGAGAAAGGTTCCCATTCACTACCAGCTCTACATAAGAATCCCTAGTAGGGCACCAGCAGGAGTCCACGAGGTCCCAAGAACACCCCGGGAATGGAACGTGGAATCATCGGGTCCAAGTCCCAGATTTTAGAGCTCGGGGTGTCCAAGCCCAGAAGGCATGTAACCAGGGCAAGGTCAAGCCCTCTTTACAGTTGGTAAGGTGATTAAAGTTGATGTGTCTGCAGAGGGAGGTTGAGATAGAGTAAGTGAATGGGAGACACTGTCACATCCTTCCCCAGCAGAGCACCCTGTACCCCATGGCCTTGGAAGAAGGTTGACTTTACAGCAAGGCCGACCCCAGGACTCCCCGTGGCACTGGCCTCAATCCTACATTAAGTGTTCTTAGGGGCTGCAAGGGAGGAGGAGAGGCCGTCTGTGGCAGGAGCTGACAGTGGGTGCCACTGTGGGTGACGGGGCTCAGCCTGTGGCAGGACCAGTTGGCACTCCAGCCCCGGGAGGAAAGGAACCTGGTACCCGTGGAATTTCACTGTTCCTGGGAAGGTTCTACCAGGCCCTGCCAAGCCCACCCCTGTGCTCTCTGGAGAGCAGGCTGCTGTCAAGGAATTTGAAACTCCTTGGAGCGAGGCAGGGTCGGGAGGGGGCCCACTCAGCCCCTGGGGCAGGAGATAACTTTCCTCCATGGAAGAAGGACTTCTCAGGTAACTAATCCCTCTGCCAGCTCATTTCTCTCAGAGGGAGGGCTCCCCCTTCCACTGGATCAGAAACTGAGATTGGGTTTCTCCCAGGCCAGGCCCTCAGAGGGGATGGGAGTCACAGCCCTGAGCCGCAGACCAGGCCTGAGATGGCAGGAGGCCCCAGCAAGAGCCCGAGGCTGTGCCAGGGTGGGCTCGGGCGGGCTCTGGGCTGACCCAGCAGGGATGGGGTGGATGAGGCCCTCCAGGAGTGAAGATGTAGGCCAGCCCTCCCAATCACTTCCCACCGCCCAGGACTGGGCTGACTCACTCAGGAGTGTTGATCCAGATGATGTCCAGGTGACAATAGTAGACACACTCCTTGTCCTTGTAGGTGAAGCACGTACAGCGCCTCGCACGGCGGTGCACAGGACCCCCCTTGGACGCCTGCTCCCCAAACCGACCTGGCTCCTGCTCCTGCCCAAGGCGTCTGGGACTCGGACCCTGCACTGCGGTAGTGGCCACAGTCTCCGCGATGTCCCCCTCAGATCTGGCTGCAGGGGGGGCCCCGGGCACGCCGCTCCTGCCAGCGTCCCCAGGCTGGGGGCGAGGCACCAATCCTGCAGGAGGCAGATTGAGGAGCTCCTGAGCTCCTGAGTGTGCAGATCCCCCCCCCAGACACACACACACCTATCATTCCCCCAAAAACCTGGGGGAAGGGGACGACCAAAATTTCTGCAAAGTTTGCAAGCTAGTTGCACTTTCTGTAAAGTCTCCAAACTCTGCCATACATTCTGAAAAGTTTGCAAAGCTATGTGCACAGTTTCTGAAAAGATTACAAGTAATGTGCATACTTGGTGAAAAGCTTGCAAGCTATTTTCCCTTTCTGCAAAGTCTGCAAGGTATTTGCACCCGTTGAGAGCTTTGCAATCATTTTTGCACAGTTTCTGAATAGTCTGCAAACTTTTTGAAAAGTTCCCAACTTCATGAAAAATTCACCAAGTCCACCGGGCCAGCCGAACCTCTGGCTCGCCGGTGGGCTGCAACCTCCAGAGCCCCCGGGGTAGCTGGCTCTCAGCTTCGGCCCCCCGGCCCACTCCCAGGCGCCTCCAGGGTTTGGCGAGCCCAGGCCAGAGGTTGCTCCCCACAATGCACCCTTCCCCGCGCCCCCCATCCCAGGGTCCTTTTGTGTGCGCTGGCGCCCGGAGTGGCGCGCCGCCCCGCCCGCTTACCTGCGGCGGAGGTCACTGTGAGCCCGAAGAGCAGCCAAAGCCCCGGCTCCATGAACCCCGATCGGGCGCCGGGGCAACCGGGCCAGGAGCACGGACGCCTGTGGCCGAGAAAGGGCGCTGGGCCGGGCACGGCGGCCTCGCCCTCCAGCTGCGGGGTCTGAGGCCGGCGCTCGCTCGCTGCGTCCCGGGCCCCGGCCAGGAGTTGGCGACGGCGGTCACACACTTGAGAGCGCGCTGCCCATCCCTGCGCAGGGCCGGCTGTGGGCTCGGGCTTTTCTGGCGCCCGCACCACCCCCTCGCCTCCCCGCCCCCCGGAGGGGCTGGGGCCGCCGCGCGGGGCCTTTGAACCCGGGCCGCGCCGGGGGTCGCCTCCCAGCGCCGGGAGGGGGGGGGGAGCGGGGCGGCAGCGCAGCGGCCCGGGGCGCACCCAGCCGGCCAGGGGCGGGGGCGGCGGGAGGCGGGGGGTGCGGTGCGGTGGGGGGACAGCTGCCGGAAGGCCACGCGCGCGCACACTTACACACATACACACATGTGCACACGCACACGCGCGCTCACACTCACAGCCCGCCGCCTTGCTGCCCCGGGACCTGTAGTTCCCACCCCAGAGCAATGCGAGCGATAAAAGGCTGCTGGAGGAAGCTGTTTCTTTTTATCTCAGGGGCTATGGGAAAGCAGCATTTCTCAATGTTCACCTAATGACACCTTACCCTTGCACACATGGTCCTGCCAAGGTCCTGGGTGTACTTTACACTCGTGACTCACGGGCACGGGCCGCGGCTCCCTGCCTCTCCCCGGAGCTCAGAGCCAGCGGGTGTGGGCAGTGGCAGGGGGGCAAAGTCAACCCAGAAGCACGTTAGCTGTCTGGGCTACCCCGACTTGCTGCCAGCCCACTGCACAGGGGGAGACTGGAGTGGGAGGCCTCCTGGCATCCCCTCTGCGACCTTCTGGGTGGTCCAGGTGCAATGCGTGGAGGGCTCTCCCTGCTCACCTGAGTCCTGTCTTCTGCCCTGAGCTGCACAGAAGACAAGGAGTTGCCTTATTTTGTTGTTACCAAGACCGTGTGCGCTGGGCACGGTGCCTGGGCTCACGGGACGCATGCCAGACAGATTTGTGATGAGCGGATGAATGAATGAAGGATTTGGCCCTGGGCTGCTGACCTCTGAGAAGCCCTGCAGACCCCCAGAGGCCCTCCCTCACCAGAGGCCTCTGACCAGAGGGACAGACAAATACACAGAGGTGGGCCCCGGATGGCACTGGGCGGTCCCCGCAGGGCCAGCAGCTGAGCCCGTCAGCCTGTGCTGGATAGGGAACCTCGGGCACCGCCAAGTCGTGGGGCAGTAGACAGGCCTGAGGCCCTGGAGTTGCTCCGGTCTCAGGGCACTTGAGGCCGACTTCACACACGTTCCCCAAATCCTTTGACGCTCCTCCCGTAGACTCCTCCAAGAGAAGGCGGCAGATGTCATAAAGAGGCCACAGCCTCCACCTGGCCCCCTCGGCGGGACGCTGGTCCTCTGAGCACAGCGGCCATGCTGGGAGGAGGCCTGAATGAGCCCGCGCGCAGAGGTCACACGGAGCAGCCCACGTGGAGAGAATCCGACTCCTCCCAGCAAAAGCCGGCGCCAACCAACAACACGTGAACGCCCGGGCCCAGAGGTGACTGGAGGCCCAGCCTCCCAGATCTGTGGCTGAGGACTGGCCGGCCCGGCGGAAGGCTGACCCAAGAACCCATGAGCGCCACAGGTGGTGGTTTGCACCAGTCACTGCTGGGTAATTCGTTACAAAGCCATGTGAGGCGAAGAGCACGCAAGCCCCCAGAACCGGGCTGATGGGGAAGTCTCTCCAGCCCCTTCTATCCTGCCCAGTCCTTGAGTCCAAGTCAAGGACTGGGACGTGGAGACATCATCCTCCAGGGTGATTCATCACCAAGCAGGACGTAAGCTCTGCAGGGGGGCCCTGCTTCATTTTTTTGTGCTCCATGCTTTGAAAATTAGAAAAACACCCAAGACTAGGATTATCTTCTGTTCCTGCTGGGCCAGAACTTGGATCTCTTCATCATTATCCCTTCCCTTAGAAATAAAATGCCCATCACCTACAAAATAAGATGTTTTGGACTGAGGGGTGGCTGGAGAAAGAGAAAGTACGCTAACGAGCTAAAAAGAGGAAGGGGTGGAAGGTGGTTTTCGGGTGCGCCCAGACACAGGATGCCTCAGAGCTGCTCAGGCCACTCACTGAGTCCGTTGTCTTCCACAGCTTGGACCAAAACCAGCACACCTGGGTGGGCGCATCGGCAGGCAACTGCACTGCGGGGCACCAGCCTGGCTCTCGCCCTCCCCTTAGTCTCCTCATCTAGTCGGCAGCAGGAATTCTGGGACAGAGAACCCAGGATACAGGGTGCTGAGACCAGAGCTGAGAAAAGAGACGACAGTCAGCTGGATGGTCGGTGGGGGCAGAATCTTAACTGGTCTTCAGCCAGGTCGGCAACCTGAGCCCCAGGATTTGAGCGGGTATTCACCAGGACATTCCACAACACGTGCTCTCCTGTGAGAAAGTTCTCCCCTTTTCTGCTCTTCCTCGGTCCTTCTGACCGCTCCCAGGAGAGCTCCTGGATCGGGAATGTCTGCAATGACTCTCAAACAATCTTCCGTTTCCCGCTGAGAGACACAGGCTACAGGCTTGGAGGCCTCGGGCCAGCCACAGAATCCAGATAGGATTTCTTTCTCTTTCTCTCTCTCTCTCTCTCTCTCTCTCTCTCTTTTTTTTACATGGTGGTAAAATATGTATAACAGCAAATTTACCCTCTTAACCATTTTCAGTGCACAGGTCAGGGATGTTAAATATATTCACACTGTTGCGCAGCCACCACCACGACCCTGCTCCACAGATAGCCCTTTCACCTTACAAGACTGAAACGCTGTCCCTATGAAACACTGACTCCCCGTTTCCCCCTCCCCACAGCAGAACAAGCCTTTTGTGTCTGGCTTCTTTCCCTTCACATCATGTCCTCAAGATTCGTTCCTGCTGTAGCAGGTGTCAGAATGTCCCTCCCTTCAAAGGCCGGTACTCCCTAGTAGGTATGGACCACACCTGCGTATCCTCCGTTCATGGACACTGGGCTGCTTCCATGTTTTAGCTGTTGTGAAGAATGCGGCTATGAAGGCGGCGGTGTGAATATCTCTTCCAGAGCCTTCTTTCAATCCTTTCGGGTTTATGTCCAGAAGTGGAGTTGCTGCATGACATGGTAATTCTGTTTTTGACTTTTTGAGGAACCTCCATACTGTTCACCACAGAGGCGCCATTTTGCATTCCTGCCAACAGTACAAAGGGATTCCTTTTTCTGCACGTTCTCACCAACACTTATTTTTTAAATTTTTTTATTTTTTAATAGTAACCATCCTAATGAGTGTGAGGTGAGGTGGTACAACTACTCATTGTAGTTTTGTTTTGCATTTCCCTCATGATTAATGATGTCGAGCATCTTTTCATGTGTTTATTGGCCTTTAGTATGTCTTCCTCAGAGAAATGTCTGTTCAAGCTCTTTGCCTCGTATTGCATCTGGTTGTTCTTGTTGTTGTCATTGAGATTTTGTAAGATTGTTTTCATTGCATTTAATTTTATATTTATCTTTTATTTATGGCAAGTGGTACTGGTTTTCCATGTGTGGTGATGAATAGAATTCCTCTCTAAATTAACTTATTAATTAATTTATTTAATTAAAAAAAAAAGTAACCTGAACTAAAATATGAAGTAGTCATCGTAAAGGTGGTTTGGAGACTTGGCAAAATCACAAAGCTGGTCTGCCCATAACCGAAATCTAGAAAGATCTCATTAAATTGGGCAAGGAGGAGGGGCAACAAGGAGGGGAGAGGGGGCAGGGGGGGGAGGGAAGATGACGGGGGGAGGACGAGGAGCAGAGCATTTTGATTACAAAATCGCTCAGGTGGAGGACAGTGGACACGAGAGCTGTCCCTGGCACTAGGAAGGGCAAATCTCATCATTCTTGAAAGTAGCTCTTAAAAGAATCTGTGGAAATGAATAAAACATTATCTATTTTGGCAACTTGAAGGTCACTTTTCTTATAACAGGGACAAGGGCCAGCAGACACAGGAGGATGCACCTCTCCACATCACGGCACTGCCTGGGGAAGTCCGAGGGCTTGCTCCCTGCGCTCTCGTGGTTTCATCCAGCTGGTTGGGTGTGTGGAGCAAGGAGGACTTGAGAAAATCAGGAGTGGTCTCAGCAGCCTCCCCCTGTTCCTGTTGGGTTGTTTGTTCACTTCGTGGTGCACTGATTGATTCCTTAGCCATGACTTTGAAGGCCGCTGTGGAAAACATTGGTTATTTTTTCCCACCCAGCATCCCCGCCCTGCCTTTGGGACACAGCATTTTGGTTCTTCTTTGAGGACCCACCCGTCCTTTGTCCATGTGGTCAGTGGGCCTGGGACTCCAAAGTAGGCTTGTGACTGAGATCTAGCTAATCCAAAGATCCCGTCCGCTTGGCCCTGGCGATCAGTTCAGGGCTGGGCAAGGTTAGACAAATCAGTCAATCTCAGGACTTTTGCTAAAACACTTGAGAAAGAAGTTTTCTATTCACTGGGATTGTGGAGAAGAAAGGAAATGTCCCTGAAGCTACTGGTCGCCACCTTGCCACCATGAAGAAAGACCCTGCCTGAGGCTGGACCCAACATGGGGCGAAGTGGAGTCAAGAGCTGGAGAGAACTGGGTTGGTGTCCTGTTTGGAGCCCCTGGATACATCTGGGCCTGAAATCCACTCTGTCCCTACGTTTTTCATTTGTAATAGCTCATAATTTCTTTTTGGTTTAAGCTTCTTTGGGATTCTGTCACTTTCGATGGAAAAAATTCTGGCTGGAACACTACCAGTCCTCCTGGGCTTTAGTCTATGCAGTGTGCAAAGGAAACAGACAGCTCACATGATTTGATGGTGAGCTGATGATGAGGGTTTTAATCATTGTTTTGCCCTTGTGACAACTCAAAAAATCTTGTGCTATCATTATCCCTATTTTCTAGATGAAAAAAAGGTTAACAGTTACAGGGT